CGGTCCGCAGGGAGATTCGCTGTCAGCCCAAAAATACAATTTATTTCATTTTTTTTCTTTTTCTTTTTTCTTTATCCTCACCCGAGGACATTTTTTTATTATTATTATTTTGTTCAGATAGAGTGGGAGGGAGAGAGAGAGAGAAACATCGACATGAAAGGGACACATCGAGTGGCTGCCACCTGCACAACCAACCAGGGCCGGGGACAAACTGCAACTGAGGCACGTGCCCTCAGCGGGAACCAAACCCGGGTCTCTCGGGACCGTAGGCCGACGCTCTAACCGCTGAGCCAAACCGGCCAGGGCTCATTTTTTCCTTTATTGATTTTAGAGAGAGACAGAGATAGAAACATTGATGAGAGAGAAACATCCATCGGCCGCCTCCTGCATGCCCCCCACTGGGGATCGGGCCCACAACCTGGGCATGTGCCCTGACCGAGAATCGAACCGGCGACCTCTTGGTGCAGGGTCGACACTCCACTACTGAGCCACACTGGCCGGGCTACACAATTTAGAAAATACACAAGGAAAGGAAACATGAACCACCTCATTAATGCTTTTTCTATATCGATCATATATTGAAAACACTATTATTTTGGATAGATCTGTGGAATTCATTTCGCCTGTCCCTTTTCGGTTGTTTTTCATGTGGGTGTTGGATCACTGGAAGTGGCCTGTGAGGTGACATTGCATTTCTCCTGGGTGGCCCTGTTATGGGCAGCCTGGGGCTCTTCCAACACATGTCCCCATGGTGGGCCTGCCCCCCAGGAGGCGGACGGGGCTGGACACCCACCCCCGGAGCTGACACCCTGCCTTCCCTCCAGGGCAGCCATTGACTTGTCCTCTCAGCTGTGACGGTTAATTTCATGTGTCAGTGTGACTGGCCACGGTGTTCAGATTAAATGTTATTCTGAAGGTGTCTGGATGGATTAGCATTTGAGTGGGTGGACTCCGGGAAGCAGGTGGTCTGCCCAATGTGGAGGGTGGGGGCTCATCCAGCCCACCAAGGCCTGAGTGGAGCCCCAGGCCGGGGAAGGAGGAATCCCCCATTTCCCCCACCTGACTGCTGGGCCAGGACCTCCACCCCCTGCCCTTGGCCCTCCTGGCTCTCAGCCCTCAGACCTGCACTGAGTCCCACCACCGGCTGTCCTGGGACTTCCCGGGCCCACATCACATGTCAGAATCACTAGCTCATGATAAATCTCTCCCTGGACACCCTGCTGGTTTGTGTTTCTGGAGACCTGGCCGGCACACCAGAGGGCTGACCTGACTCCTGTCTGGGCACCATTTCACATGCCCTGCTGCCCCCGCAGCTGGCCTCCAGAAGGCTCGAGGCTCCGAGTGAGCTGAGCACACACACGCGCCCGGTGCACACGGGCCGTGGCACGACCTATGGGCTCCCGGCCTTTCAACCCACGACCTGACCAGAAAACCAAATCGGAGAATGAAATGCAGCCCGTTGCCTGCTCTGCCTGCAAGCGGAGGACAGCGTTCACATTTTTTAGTGGTAAAAGAAATTTAAATTCACGCCCATTAGCTATTATTTAAAAACAACAACAACACAACTATTATACAAAAATACCAGAAGACAACCAGAGTTGGCGAGGGTGTGGAGAAATCCAAACCCTGTGCGCTGCTGGTGGGACCCTGACCCAGTACAGGCCCCGTGGGGACTGTTTGCTGGGTCCTCAAGAAGTTAACACAGAACAAGCATATGACCCGGCAATGCCACTTCTGCATATATCCCCCCAAGAAGTGAACGCAGGTCTGAGAGATCTCTGCACACCCACGTTCACAGCAGCCAAGACGTGGAAGCAGCTCGAGTGTCTGTGGACAGAGGATACACAGAACGTGGTTCATCCACACAGTGGAATATTATTCAGCCTTAAAGGGGAAGGGCACACTGACACCTGCTCCAAGGTGGATGTACCAGGAGGACAGTGTGCTGAGGGAATAAACCAGGCACATAAGGACAGGTCCTGCGTGGTTTCACTTATATGAAGTCCCTAGAGGAGTCAAATTCAGAGACAGAACGTAGATGGTGTGGGCCAGGCGCTGGGGGAGGGGACTTGGGTTTACTGACTGCTGCCCTAAAGCTCAGAGATGGAGACTCAAGAACAGGCGGAGCCTGCTGGTGTGGCTCAGTGGTTGAGTGTGGACCCTGCACCAAGAGGTCGCCGGTTCGATTCTCGGTCAGGGCACATGTCCAGGTTCTGGGCTCAATCCCCAGTGGGGGGCATGCAGGAGGTGGCCAATCAATGTTCTCTCTCATCGATGTTTCTCTCTCTCTCTCTCCTTCTCCCTTCAATAAAGAAAAACATTAAAATAAAAAACAAAAGAGCAGGCAGAGCCCTGACAAGGCGGCTACGACCCACACCCCATACAGTTTATCCATTTAGTGTTTTTACTCTATTCACAGAGCCGGGCAGCCATCAGCACAGCCAGAGTTAGAGCTTCTCGGCTCAGGAGGAACCCCGTACTTTTAGGCTCTGCGCTCTCCCTCCTGGGACCCAGCTGTGAAGTGCAGGGCGAGGACCCCATGGGGAACCAGCCCCTGCCACCTGGCTGTGCTGCTCTTCCGCTACCTGTCTCCCCAGTTGAATGCAGTGGCAGGAGCCAGCCGGGCCAGACCAGCAGGGACACCACCCACCAACCCACAGAATCCTGAGAAAGAATGAATCCTAGTTAAAGCCACTAGAATCTGGGTGGCCTGCGTCGTGGCAATCGGTACTGAGGGTCTGCAGGCCCCAGAGGCCAAGCGGGCATCCAGGCAAGGATCGTCAAGGCCCTGTTGGCAGGACTCTGGGACTTTCCCTGGCACCCTTGCTATGGGCAGGAGAGAGGACAGGCAGCTCCATCTCTGGCTGAGGTTGGCCAGGTGGCCTTCGGAGAAGGGTCGAAGGCCTCTGACCAGGGAGAGGCTGCAGAGGTGAGCCAGAGCTCCTGCCCTGGACCGGGAAGAAGGTCAGGCCACCTGGATTCAGAGTCAGGGCCCCCATTTCTACCTGAATTGCCCTGAGTCAGCATCATCCTAAGACAAATGGGGCGCAGGCCTACCTGGCTCCACGCAGGTGCTAGCCTCCAGCTCACTCCCCAAGCAGGAAGGCCAAGGTGACTTGCTAGGAGAACCCTGTAGGGAGACGGGAGCCAAATGGGAGCCAGGGGGCAAAAGTCTAGCAGTACATACTTGCTGACTGCCCTGTCCCGGAGGGCTCCTTGGGAAGGGGATGATGGCTCCAGGCAGACAGGTCTGCCACCTGACTCCACTCCCAGAGGTCCTAGCCCAAGAGAGTCTGGTGACTAGTAAAAACCAGCGGGGCTCTGGCCTCCTGCGTGCACAGACACGTGCTGGTGCTCCCAGCTGTGGGGCAGGACAATTCTCCCCCATTTATGGAACACGCTGCACACTTTTGAAGTCCTTGTCCCCTCAGACCCCAAAGTTTCCCCCCAACGGTCAAGGAGAAACTCCTTTGACGTCCCGCCTCCCCTAGGGACCCAGCCTGCCCGAGAGAGGCTGCTCCCCAGGGACCTCCCCCCACCAGCCCAGTCTCAGTGCCCCCTGGGCAGGTGGGAGAGGAGGGCCCCGGCCAGGGGTGGGTGGCTGAGGCCAAGAGGGTGGTAGGCACCGACAGGTGAATGGCTGGAGAGAACCGGACCTGGAAGGCAGGAAGATTTGTGGGGAGGGGAATACAGGACCAGGAGAGAGCTGTGGTGGTGGTGGTGGTGGGGGGGCAAACCTCCAGGTCCTCGGCTTTAGGCCTCCCCAAGGCCCAGGGCGCACGGAAACCGCAGGCAGAGAGTGTACGTTAGAGGTTGGGGAAAAGGCGCTGCGGAAGCCTGAATCCCCCACCCCAGCGCGCCGTGTCTCAACTACTCCCCAAGTTCTGTCCTACCCGAAGGGCTACTTGGCCCTCTCCCATTCCGGGTAGAGGAATCACAGGTGGGCAACGGGCCGGAGAACAGGTGTGTGGGGGGGTACGTGCTCCCCGGTCGCTGAGGGAGAGGCCGAGCGGGGCGGGAGCCAAGCTTTGTTAGAGACACTCCCGGGAGCCACGCGCCTACAATACGAGCTTCCTCCCGGGGCTGGGTGTGGGGCCGAGCCCGCCGCTATTGGCCGAACGGGCGGCCCGCGATTGGCTGAGACTCCGGCCTCCGCCCCTCGGCCGCAGTAGGGCGGGGCGCGGGTGCGGGCGGCGCGGCGCGTGCTGCCCCCGGGGGTCTCGTGCGCCTCCAGGACAGCTGTGCAGTCCCAGTGACCACGCCCTCCCCTCCACAGCGCGCGCTGCGCGTGCGGACGCCTGGCAGCTGTGGGGACTAGCGGGCCGCACCGAGAAGTGGAGGCATCAGACGGTCGCAGACCTGTGGACTGTTCTCGGGTGGCGAGGGTCGCACCAGGGACCTCTGACAGTGCATGGAGGTGGGGGGTGCCCATGTGTCCTGCTTACCGCGTCTTGGGAAGCGCACTGAGCACCTGTTGTGAGCGGGCCCCCACTTGGGACCTGCGGACTGCACCTGGGGTGTGGGCACACGGGGGATCTGCGTCCTGTGCCCCCGGGATGGGGCAGGGGACGCGCTCCCGGCTTGGTCTTTGCAGGTTGTGTGTGCAAGGGGGAGGGCGAAGCGTGGCGGGAGGGCGAGGCAAGAGAAGGAGGGCGTGAGAAAGGAGGCGGCGGCGGCGCGGAGGAGGGTTATCTATACATTTAAAAACCAGCCGCCTGCGTCGCGTCGGGAAGACCTGGGGAGCGTCTGACTGCACGCGCAGGACACGAGCGCTCCACGCTCCACGCTCCACGCTGCGCACGGCCTCTTGGCCTCTGGCTCCTCGCTGATTTAGACCCCAGAAAACTTGGGACGCGTACCCTGGGAAGTCTCTCGGTGGCACAGTACCACAGGCCCCCCTGGGGCGTGGCCGTCGTCCCACCGCCCCCGGTTCCTCCGCCTGCACCTCCCTGCGGTGTGTGGAGGCTTGGAGAAGCTCCAGGCGTGTGGATGCGGGTGCGATGAACAGCGGCGCGCTGCCCCGGCCAGCGCCCCCCGCGCCTGGCGTCTCTGGCGGTGGTGCCACCCGGCGGCGACCCGCGTCCCCAGAGCTGTTGCGCTGTAGTCGGCGGCGGCGGCCGTGCGCAGAAGAGACCGGGGGTGGTGCCGCGGCAGTGGCCCGGCGCAACGAGCGTGAGCGCAACCGCGTGAAGTTGGTCAACTTGGGGTTCCAGGCGCTGCGGCAGCACGTGCCGCACGGCGGCGCCAGCAAGAAGCTGAGCAAGGTGGAGACGCTGCGCTCCGCGGTGGAGTACATCGGCGCGCTGCAGAGCCTGCTGGCGGAGCACGATACCGTGCGCGCCGCGCTGGCTGGGGGGCTCCTGGCGCCAGCCGGGCGGCCCCCTGCTCCCCACGGGCCTCCGGGGACCCCTGCGGACGCCACCTCGCCCTCCTGCGCCTCTTCATCCCCAGGCCGCGGGGGCAGCTCGGAGCCCGGCTCCCCGCGCTCCGCCTACTCGTCCGACGACAGCGGCTGCGAGAGCACACTGAGCCCCGCGGAGCGCGAGCTGCTCGACTTCTCCAGTTGGTTAGGGGGCTACTGAGCACCCCACTCCGCCCTGCGAGGTAACTGCCCGTTGACAGGGAAGAGAGGGGTCGGTTCGGCGTGGCTGAGTACACCGGCCGGGCGGCTTGCGCCCTTGACAGCCAGGGAAGCCGAGCGCCAGGCCCGGTGCTAGCTTCGATTTCACCCACTCTTCATTTCCCCCAGCTCTTTCAAGCCTGTGCAAGACCAGCGTTTGTTTGTCCGGGATTGCAAAACTTCCTCTCGCTGCTCCGCCGCCGAAGGGGGAGGGAGGAGACGGGGCTGGTGGGGGGGGGGGTGTGTGTGGCGGCACGGCCCTCGGGCGGGTGAGGCCCCGAGTGCAAGCGGATCCCCGGGCAGATGAGGGTGCTGGAAGGCGGGGTAACTTTGCATTGCAAATCACACGCCGGGGCCGGTTGGCAGAAATGAGTCGGCGGTGCGCAGCCCTGACTCACTGCGGCTGGAGTGCAGCCCCGCCCCCGCCCCGTGGCCCGGGCGGCCGCCTGAAGCCGAGGCACCCACAGACGAGCTCGAAATCCAACCACCAACCCAGCAAAACTGCGCCTTCGTTTGTTGGAGGTGGAGGCAGGGCTGCATCCCGCACTAACGCACGTTCCTGTCCCCCTTGCCTCCCAGCGGCGTAGCCCCAGATACCGAGGGGCAAGCGCCCTCAACACCTAGGAGCCCGCGCAGCGGACGCCCGGCACCTTACCCCCGCTACCTGGTGAGCCAAACCACCTCGGAGCCGGACCCCACCGCCGCCCCGGCTGCCCAGCCTGGCCGTGCACCAGTCTGGAGCGGGTCCCAGCCCGGCCTGGTCTGGGAGGCGGCCTCTCCCCGGTGCTGACCGCCCTGCCCTGAGGCTCTCCAGTGGAATGGGGCTGGGCGCCAACACTGTTTTCTTGAAGGGAGACGGTTTCTTGACAACACAGAGCATCTTTATATATATATGTCAACTTGAACTGTCCAGGGACACTGGCAACATGAAAACTTATTTTTATACAAGGACTCCTTAACTTAGAACACAATAAAGATTGTTTACCCCTGCCTCACCCTCCATCGTTGGACTTTTCCAACCTGGCCAAGGCGTGGACACTGAAGCCCCCGAGGGTCCCCGGCAGGGGTCCCCACTCAGCACTGGGTTGGTGCAGGCCCTGCAGCTGGGGAGAGAGCTGTGTCGGAAACCCTGAGCTTTCTGAATAAACCAGTGCGGTGTCAGTGTTGGGGATGCCCTCTCCAGACCGTCAGCCCCCCTGCCCAGGTGAGGGCTGGCACGGGTGGGAGGTGGTGGGCCAGACTCTGCACCCTGCTTGCGGCCCCTGCAGTCTCCCCAGACTCCGCCCGCTCCCCTGACCAGCGGCAGAAGAGCTGAGAGGTCCGGGAGGCCGGCTTGTGCCAGTGGAGCTCAGGCACCTTGCAAGGCTGGAGGCTCCCTGCAGTGCCAGCGGGCTGGTGGGCGGTCCAGACAGGGCCGGGTCACAGCTGGGAAGCTGAGGTCTGCAGGCTGCTGACCAACACGGGGTCTGGAGCCAGTACCCAGTGCAGGACAGGCCCCGGGGTGGTCGCACCTGACAGCCCACCCTCGGTGTCAGGGTTCATATCTCCACTTCCCGCCACCTGTTGGATGACCCCGGACAAGTTGCTCAACCTGCAAATGGGGGTGACAACAGAGAACTGAAGGAGAAGTGTCTGGCACCGTTTCAGGCTCCCGGCCCCGTGCCTGCAGCCCCAGCCTGCACATGCGTTGCAGGCTGCAAGGGCCTGGGTGGCGACGGCAAGGCTTTGGCCCCTCCGTTCTGGGTGCCCATTCTGGGTGCCCTGGTAGCCGCCCTGGAGAGGAACAAGGCAGGCCTCCTCCCCCGGGCCCCCTCCCGCCAGCTCAGACGGCCCTGCAGAGATTACTCAGCTCTACCTTTGACCTGCACCTCGGCAGCTTTGAAGTCTATACTGTGCCCAAAGATCTCTTTCATTGCTGGGGTGGGGGCAGGGCCGACGGGGATCCTCCAGGCTGCTTTAAGGTGCCGAAGGCACCCCTTCAGCAGGGAGTGGTGGGGTCAAAGCCGTTGGAACCCTGGGAGGTTGGCAGAGAGCAGGTGTCTTGTGAGTAACCATGGTGACAGAGTGCTGGGTCGGCAGACCAGCCGTGGCTTCGGGCTGTGGGGCTGAGTGAACTGGCCTCTAGGGGACAGAAGGGGACACGTTCTGTGCGTGGCCATCCACGGTCTTCTCCCAGGGGCTTCACGGGGCACAGGCCCTGGGCTCTCCTGCGACACCTTACCTTGACCCCAGCGAGAGGCCTGGACACAGCTGGCGGTGGGCAGGGTGGGGCACACGGGTCTGGGGAGGGAAGCCTGGGACGGGCTGGAGGAGAGGGCCGTTCTCCCTGCCTCGGGCCAGGGCGGTGTGCTGAGGGCGGTGTGCTGCGGCGAGACTCTGCCGTCTTATTAGGGAAAATTCCGAACACGTAGAAGCTCTGAAACTCTATTTCGGACATTTTTCTGTCCCAGGGAGTGTTGGGCACCGAGGATGCTGCCTGTGGGGAGCCCTGCCCTCAGGGAGCCCGCGGCACAGCGCCACCCCACAGGCGGCGCCCGTGAGTCCGTCGGAAGGCTGGCCAAGGATGGGCCGCGGGGCTGCAGAAGCCCCTGAGACGCCCCGTCACCAGCGTCACGGTTACTGACGCTGGGCCTCTTCTGCTGGCAGGGGGTTTTGAAGCGAATCTGACAGCATATTGTCACACCCATGGATTCTCCAGAGGAAACCCCAACACCGCGTTGTCCCTCGCGGACACCTGTTCCTCACTTCGCCCAGCGCCGGGCCAGTGGCACGGGCCTCTGACTGTCAATTTCACTGCAGGGTGTCTGGACCGAGGACCCAGCCCAGGGCCACCATCCAATATGCCTGTTACGCCTCATAAGCATTTCGGAATTGAAGAAACGGGCTGATCTGTTCTGTGGTGTTTCCCATGTCCTGGGGGCTGCTGATGACACCTTCTGGGTGCTATTGATGCCCTGTCTGTCCCTGTATTTTCTGTAAATCGGGGGCTGGGGGGTCAGAAGCAGATGTGATAAGGTGCCCACTTGGCTTCTGTTCCTGGGCTTTGGAGGGGGTGACATGTCCCTGTGGCCACGTCCCATCAGGAAACACACAGTGATCGGGTCACTAGTCCAAGTGAGGGTATTTTTGAAAGGGGAGAGGGCAGTGCTGGTGACCAGCCAGGACGACAGGTATGTCACTTGGGCATGTTGGCCTGCCCGCCACCCTGGTCAGAGTCCCCTGTAGTGTCTGATTGAGAGTCCATCACGGCTCCACACTGCAGAATTGGAAATGGCATCTCCCAGAGGCAAAGGACCTGAAGTCACGGAGCTTGGAAATGGTGGAATCCTTCCTAAGCCCTTGTCCTGGTCCCCTTCCAGAGGGCGGGGCTGCCCGGAGGCTGTCCTGGGAGGACACCTTAGCAAGCCAGCCTTCCAGATGAGCGTGCAGCACAGATGCCCGTCGGCCATGCCCGGAGGTCCTGGCTTTGTCTCCTGGAAGCCAATTCCGCACAGAAGGCGACCAGAAGCTGGAGGGTGGGGTGAGGTCCAGGGCTGGGGAATGGTGCTCGGGGCCTCGGGGTGAGGCTGGGAGGGGCCGGGGCTCATGATTACAGTGAGACTCAGCAGACTGGATGGGGCACGGCTGGGTGGGCAGGGCGGGAGGCCGGCCCGGAGGACCAGAGTCCCGGGGAGTGCTGGGGTGCTTTGTTCTTGTCTGTACACAACAGCAGGCCCCGGGGGGCCCTGTTTTGCTGTCCTGGAGCGTCTCTGGCTGAAACACACCCAATCACTTTGTCCCCAACATGTCGGGAATGGGTGTGTCCTCCCGGCTGTCCCTGGGGAGTGGCGCTATGTGGACACAGGGCTGCCCCATCGGTGGCCAGGACAAGTACAGAGTTCTACCCGTCCAGGCTGGCCTTGTCTGGCCCGCTCGAGCCCCATGCCCATTCATTCTGACACCCTTACTGGGCACCTCTGGGCCAGGCAGACCCTGCCCTCATGGAGCCCACGTCCCAGTGGAGGACACGGAGCCAACCCACAAGCAGTGAGCATGGGGCAGTCGGACAGTCCGGCCATGGATGGACCCGCGGGATCCTGGGGTCACAGCCTCGGTCCTGAGTGGGGCAGGTCAGGCCCACAGTCAAGCTAGTGCTAGGCGTGGTTCTTGCCTGTTCCAAGGCAGCCCCACAGACCCCCCAGGGGGGGACCCACCCAGCCCCCACTAAGGGATATCTCCCTGAGGCCTGGGGCTGCTCATTCTGGCTTTGGCTTCACACTGAGAGAGAGGTGCTTGCGGCCCACCCGTCGGTCTGCTTCTGAATCCCCGAGGGCCGCGCAGCACCCTGGAGACTCAAGTCCACACGACGGCTCTTCTCCTCGCCGCTTTGTACTTTCGGGGTCCCAGGGCAGAATGAAAATGGGGCACCCGTGTTCAAAAACTGGGAGAAATATAAAGCTCTTCCCTTTTCTTCCACAGCCCACGTCTTGTTTTATGGTGCTTTAAGCAACAATGCCGTTCTAAGCACCAGAGAAACATCAGCTTAAACATCAGCATGGATTTCCGCTCCCTGGTTCCCGTGGTGCGGAGGGTCTTCGGCCCTTCACCTCCTGGCAGCGTGCGGGACGCGCTGGGCGTCTGCTCCGCCCGCGGCCTTGGTTGCCCCCGGACAGAGGGGCGCGCACAGAGCTGGCCGACCTCAGGCCACTCCGCACAGCACGTCAGCCTGCGGCTCCTTTCCTGCCTCGTTGCTCTTCCTCTCGCGGATGGCTCTCGGCTTTCCCCGGGAAGCACGCGAGGAAGAAGGCGGATGCCTTCCGCGGGTTGTTTGTTACATCTCTCTGCAGGGCAGCGCGCCCTGGCTGGGGTGGGTGTGGCCCCGGGCGTCGTCACACCCCCTTGCTGGGGGGAGGATGGGGACGGCCACTTTTCCTTGCTTTGGGTCCGGCTGGCCTCCCACGCTGTGGGGCCGTGAACACTCCACGTGGAAGGGGTGGGCTTGGCCTGGTGGGCATCTCCTCCGCTCGGGCGCTGCTCCACTGTCCCTCTGACCTTCACCTGGGGGCACAACCACAGGCCAAAGAATTCAAGGTGCCAACCAAGGAGCCTGAAACAGCGTGGGGCCCACCCACCCGGGGCCCACTCAGCCCGGGACCAGCTCAGCCCCAGGCCTGTGTATCGGCAGAGCCCTCCCCCCGGCCCCGCCTG